TCTTTTGTCACGAAGGATTTCTCAGTGTCCACCGTGAGATTTCCTTTCTCAGCCAAGATCTGGTTGGCCAGTTCTTGAAGCCTGAGAGCCTCAATGAGACACTCTTTGTCATCTTTGAGCTTCTTGATTATGGCATCCTGTTGGGCGAGTTTCCTGGCTTTGAAAAATCATTGCTGTTGAGATGATTCCCACCGGTCGCATAGAACATTTGCTCAGCCGTTTTGGCTTTCTTAATGACCTCTTGACGTTCCTTGGAGTTGGCTGTTGTCACAGCCACATAAGTGGATCTTGTTGGAGCATCCTTTCGCATGTTCTGCCCCTTCATTCCGTAAGATGTGAGTGTGTCGCAATACATCTTGTTCATTTCTTCCAACTGTCTCAAGTGAGCAACTTTCTGTTGTTCTTCTGCTTCCGGTCTGGCTACGGCTGCAGCACCTTCTACAGTAATCTCATGCCGGACGTTTGCATGGTCAGGAGCAGCTCTGGTTAGAGGCACGGCCCCTACTTTCTTCCAACAATTGATATTCGATTGGCAATTGAAGGCATCGCTGAAAGCATCACGCAGGAATACATTCGTCTGTGGATCAGTTCCGCCAAAGACAAGAAGAGGAAGGTCAGTGATTTGCATGCCAAGATCCTTGTCGAATCTCGCTTGAGAGAGGACTCTGAGGTTGTCTCGATATGAAGTCTTGTATACTCCATAATTCTGATCAGTCTCTTGTGTCGCTCCTGTTGTGTTTGGAACTCCTGGAACAACATACACTCCCATCAAGTGCAGGTCAGCAAGCATCTCAACATTCATTCTTCCTGGTCCACTGTCAAGTTTGGCAAGAACTCTTTTACCTGGTACATCCTCGCAATCAGGATAAAGCCTCATGATGTTGGTCTTGATGTACTTGTCGAGTTCAACAGCAATTCATTCCTGCTTTCTCATTCATTCCAAAGGTACAAGGGAACGCTTTCCTTTGGGTATGGCTGAACTTCCCAGTGACATCCTTACAGTGTGTGAACCAATCGATTGACATTCTTTGACCACCAACCGTTCTTTGAGCCAACGTCTTCAGTTGGAAGTGAGGAGGAAGGGGGTCACCTGCAGCGCTGCTTCCACAAATGATGGTAAAGGAATACCCACTCTTGTTGACCGCAGTGGCACCACCTCGAATCTCAGGTGAGTAAAAGGTAATGGGAGGTCTGCCCCCTCTTTGTTCGGTGGTATCATCAAGGGATCTGTCTGTTTCATCCAAGTTGATGATGCGGTCCTTTTGGCCATCAAAGAACACCAGCTTACCTTCCACCAGCTTACCTTCCACGTCTTCTCATTCTGCCTTCTCTCTTGCAAAGCCAAGCTCGACACACTGCTGCTTGAAGACATTGAACCAGAAATCAAGATGATAGTGGGTCGTTCACTGCGCCCTCCTCGCTTCTTGGACGTTCGCTTTTCCAGCTTCAAATTGATCAGCAGTGTCATTCTTCAACTTACGGGCCAAGTCGTCTCTAGTTTGCTAAAGCCCAGAGGATTGACTGTCTTGTTCAGTAACTGGCCAATCTTCTTTAATGTCGACTGCTTCTTTGATTCTGCTTGTTCCAGTTTCAGGTAAGTGACAAAGGCTCCCTTCAATGCTGCATAAACCTTTGGTGGGAAATCCCCGACAGGACCTCTCTTCAGTGGCGACACTCCAATCAATCCTTGTCTTACGTATCGTGCTGCTGTTTTCGCTGTTATATTGCTCTTCAATCTTTTGTTGGTTGACTCCACAATCTCTTTGATGCTCCTCTTCTTTGGATCATCCTTTGGCAACTGTTGGTTCCTATGGATCAGCGTTGTTGCCGCCTTCATTGCTTTCTTGTCTCTTTCAGTAAGCTGGATCTGTTTTGCATTGACTCTCTGCAATTCCTTGCTTGTGCGTCTTGCTGACTTCTCCTCTGTCTGCTCGCTTCCATCAGTGCTAGAGTCAAGAGGAGACACATTTGATTCCTTATTACTTGTTGCTGGAGGAGTTGCTGTTGTTCCGGCCAGAGTGGATGCTTCAGAAGATGACCCAGCGACACTCACACTCTTGGGTGGATTGCCAGTAGCACCAGTACTAACAACAGGACCAGTGCCACCAACAGCGATCACTATCTTGGAGGATGTGCGACGGACCTGCTGATACGTCGTCATGTTGTTTCTTTGTGGAGTCGAGAAACCAACCATTTTCATCGCGTCCTCCACTCTGATGACTCATTTGCTGATGGAAACAAGGGCAGCAGCCCTGTCGATCTTGCTCTGCTTTCTCTCAGGCTCATTCATACTATTAAGGAAGAGGACGCACTAGTGTTGTCCCTTGGAGGTAAGCCACAACTCGACGTATCCTCACTTTTACAACAGCATGTCGCTGTTCGGTGAAGTGCAACAACAGGCTCACCAACCGCCGATGTTGATTTCTACAACTAGGAAAGCTTTTGAGTCCATTGGAAAGGTTGATCAGCTATCTTCATTGCTATCACTAACGTTTCCGGTTACCGGTTGGGTGGTGTTACTAGTTGCATAACAGTCAAAAAGTACGCCATGGTCGACATTTCTGTGTTGCAGAAAATGCTGTAAAAAATCGATGGCTTATAACCCTCCTTATTCTAGTACCCTGCAGCACATACTACTGGTACTAACTAGGTCTAGCTAGGAAGTAGCTACAATAGTACTGGTACTCTAGCTAATAGCTAATCGCTGGTGAGTGCTACATGTACTACAGGTAGCTACGTGCGCTAGTACGGTAGGTACTGTAGCAGTAACTACTTGGAGTACTCAGAGTCAAGACTAGCTAGCGAAATGAATTATTATGTAAGCCGAACACATGTCTCACACAATTCCTCTCAATTACAATAGCTATTACTATGCTTTTACTAGCTAGTAACCTAGTTTAGGACTCCTGGTGTCCCCTACTAGAACTAGTGGTAGAACTGCCTGCCCCTCCAATTCCCCCCCCTCTACTATAGGGTCTACACCAACCACCAGGACATGGCTGAGGGGGGTACCCCCACCCCCTAGTGTTTTGAAAAGACCCCAACCCTAGCACCATCAATCCGACCCCAAAGTAACTGTAGAAAGTGGAAAAGCATTCCCGTATCTAGATATGGAACTGTTCTGGTCGGACCAGGAAGAACTTCACTTCCGAGTCCACCTTAAACCGAACCAACAACTGAAATATCTAAACAGGGGAACTACCCACACAAATGCATGCCTCAGAAACATCCCACTAGGGGTGTTCCAAAGACTCGCTAAACTCACTACAGTTACCAACAAGAATGTCAACCAAACCCTCGATGAGATCTACCCACTACACATCGAGGCGCTGAAGAAAGCTGGACTGGTTCTAGACCAGATACCAACACTACAAGAAGAAATACAACGATACTCCCAGCGACAAGAGGACAAAACAAATGAACCAGATAGAGATGCCAAACAACGAAAGAGGAACCGGAAACGATCATTATTCTTCTGTATAGGACACTCCAACGCCTGGACGACCCCAATACACAAGGTAATCAACAACCTCAAGAAGAGCCATGGCCTCGAATGGATCAGAACGTCTATGTCCTACCATCGATTCACCAACCTGCGAGAGATATTCATGGGCGACCTATCGAGGAAGCTCACCAAAGACGTCATCTCCATCGAGTTCCAAAATGAAACCTGCAACTGCAAGCCAGGAAACAAGAAAGACGGCCAATGCCGATTTGACGACCGCTGTAGAAATAAACTGGCCATATACTGCATCAAATGCATTAACTCGGGCAAAGAATACGTTGGGGCAACCCAACGAAACGTCAAAGAACGAACATACCAACACTTTACCGACGTCATGCATCTCCTCTACAGAAAACGCAAGTCAGATTCATATGCAAGACACTTCGCCAACGAATTCCAAAACTTCGCATCTCCTTCGCCATTCCGACTTAATGGCGACATTCAAAGGAACAGCATCGAAATTAGCATCCTATGGCAAGGCAACCCCATCAGCACTGTCAAGACCTTCGGGACACGACACTGCAGCCTATGCAACAGAGAGCGACTCGAGATACTGAAACGATCCAGAGAATCGCCAGAAAACCTGATCAACTCCTGCAACGAAATATACGGAGCATGCCGACATAAACTTCGATTTCATAAGTACCACAATAGCCCAAGCACTGATGATTCCCAAGGGGGATGAAAAAGTCAAACAACCGAAAAGTTACCACAGAGTAAAGCCTGTGTTTTGGCGATTCGCCAGTTTGTGCTGATCAAGAGTAAACTACTTAATTCAGTCACTTTTTGCTAAAATCGTATGACCATTAGATATACTACATTTTACTAGCATTTGCTATGTGGATCGTTGTGGATGGCTCGTGGAGCACTTTAGAAGGGTGCATGGCATGCAGATGATAGATGAAGCAACTTCTTATATATAAATGAACCTTATATATAAATGAACAATCTGGATAGCAGGACTCACACTGGGACGCGACTCACACATACGATTTGGTCCCAAAATGGCCATGACTGGCTATATGGGGTACCCCCCCCCCCTCTCTCTCTAGTACTGAATCTACACAACCTACTCATATAACACCAACCACCAAGACCTGGCTAAAGGGAGATACCCCCTCGATGTTGGTAGTTGGGGGGATGCAAGGGGTCCTGCTAATGTACTAGCTACTAGTAGTCGCAGAACTACTGGGGGTATTATCTTACTATTGGACTCCCCTTTCTGGCCAGCGAGTAATTTGTATTAGTACAGGTATATAAAGATAAGCCGGCAAGCTTGTGTATTATTTTGGCGCGAATCTACTAGTGTTAACTATCGAAATAAGGAGCCGTGGTAAAGCATACTCACCCAACTCGAGAATGAAACCATAATCAAGATCCTCAGAGAACCCCAAGCGCACACAATGACACCCAATACCGAAATACCAACCGGTGATGTTGGATGACCATCATGATGAGGGGACGCAAACAGATGCCGGACATGTCACAGTGACCTCTAGTAAGAGAAGCTCCCAGTGCAAAGAATTTCAACGCCGTAAGGTGCTTCGTCAGTCTCATCGTTGTTAGCTTCATTATCCTCGGTTTCGTCTCCATCAATGGTCACCTCATCCTCTGATGTCTTTTGCTTCTTTTTGGGACTCTCCTCCTCTTCGGACTCTTCACTGTTGGACTCTTGAGTGTTGCTGCTGTCGGTCTCTTCCTGGGTCACCTCAGAGTCTTCCTTTGCAGCTGGCTTGGCGTCGGGTTCTTCACTGGCATCGGGATCCTGCTTGGCATCTTCGTCGGCCGGTAGCTGAGTCATAATGCCCCATCTAATGGGGCGTAACAAAATTTCGTCAATATCTTCATCTAGCTTGGCAAGCTTCGCGACATCAAGGCGAGGGGATCCAAGAGCAAGAATGGGGGATTCAACAGCTGCCGGTTTGACGTTCCCATCTTCTGTGCCACCACAGTCGTAGTCAAAGATAATTTGGCCAGATCCTGGAGAAGAAGATCCATTGTCAATGAGACGCTCCAGTTTTCGAAGATTGACACCACCGGCATTGACCAAGTCACTGCCGTTGCTGGAGTCGCTGGACGTTTCGGCTTCCACAGGTTCTTCGACACCTTCCGTGAGCAAGTCAATGTCTCCCAACCAACGATGGTATCGATTGATGTACTCATCTTTGTTGTACCCCCAAATGTCACAGAACTGGGTGGTCTTGTGGGCTTCGGTGAAGGGATTTAGAAGAATCAGCTTCAATTTGAAGAGCCTGTCGTAGATGAAGGTATCAGGGAAGTCATTGCAAAACGGCAGCATGGATCTTGTTCCATCTTCAACCTTGTATCGCACCAGCCAAACACCAGTGATGTCATCCTCGAAGACGAAGCCAAGAATTGCCGGATACCCATTTGCACGACGTTCCTGATTGATTGCATCGCGAAGACATGGTGGACGAACAATTCGGCGAGAACAAGCAATTCAGCGACAAAATCGCTGCACGATAACACAATAACTATTTTGCGAGTGGCAATGAAACTGACTAGTGCTCTAGCGATTACACGAAGATATTCAAAAATGGAGTTTCACTCTCGCAAACACCCTTGTTGGGTAGGCCAGAGACCTGTTCCTGGCAACGATTTTTGACTCCATCTACACCGAAATGTGAGTAGCCAAATGAAAAGCAGGGTAGGTGGCCAAGTTGGCTACACACATCGTCGGAATTGTATTTATGCTTTGAAACATTCTGGAGTTGCCAGCTTTCCCGCTCTTGCATTTCCGAGTTTTGGTGTATTGGCCATTGCGACTCCATCGTTTCATTTCATTCATTTCTGCCGCCAACATTTTCATCAAGTATTGCGACAATGGGCAACTTCCCATCATTCGTTGTCGGGGTCCATTGCTGCTTTCATCTCAAGTCAAGAATGGCAGATTTGTTGCTGAGGCCTCTCATATGACCATCGTGATAGTGCAGTGGTATCTTCTTGTTTCTTCGTCACCTTTTACAGTCACTTGGAGTGAAGGTGCACCCGGGTTCATGAGGGTTTTCTCGACATTTTGATTGTGGTTCACGATTCCATTCCCGTCTTCTTGGCAACGGTAAGTTATCCACTCGTCAATCGTGCCATCGCTGATTCCAATGCACGACTCATCCAGTCTTTGTCCTCATTTTTTGGTCGCCACGCTCGATGGCCAATGTGCTTGGCCAGGAGTACACTACTCCCACTACTGGGAGTACTCGGAGTCCAGAAAATGACTGCAAATCTCTTGGGCGCAGATATTTATTTACCTAGTAGGCCATACACGTGTCTCCCACAATTCCTCATACTTCCGGGATGCTTTTGCTAGGGTAGTTAACTACTCGCTAGTATTATTATTATTGTCTTATTGCAATCAC